CCCCGCCCACCCGCCCTTTATTTTCGTAAAGGATATGTCATTTGCATCTCCACACTAAGCGGATTGAGTACCCGGTCTGAAAATGTACTTGTTAGGAAAGCTGCGAGGAATCGAATACTTCAAACCTATGTGAGAATTTTTGAACCGTTGTGGAGTTATTATAGAATTAAAAAAAAAAATTCAATTCGAAATTCACATTTTTGCGTCTCTCCATCCTAAACGGATTGAGTATCCGATCTCAAAATTCGGTCGTAAATGTTGAAAGCTTCGAGTAATCGAATCTTAAAATACCACATTGCGAATTCTTGAACTGTTCCAGAGCTATGTCCCTTTCAATTTAAAAAAATATATAATACATAATTCGGAAATGACAGCGTTCTATATACTATCAGTTTTATCCCCTCACCCGCTCCCTATTTCCCAAAGGATGTCATTTGCCAAAATCAGTCCTATCTTACCAAGTCCTAGCCGCGCCCACCCGCCCCATTTTTTCTCAGAGGATATGTCATTTGCCAAAACCAGTCTCATCTTAGCAAATACTAGGCCCGCCCACCCGCCCCCTATTTTCCCAAAGGATATGTCATTTGCCAAAATCCATCTTATCTTACCAAGTACTAACCCCGCCGACCCGCCCCCTATTTTCTCAGAAGATATGTTATTTGCCAAAACCAGTCTCATCTTAGCGAATACTAGGCCCGCCCAACCGCCGCCCTCTATTTTCTTAGAGGTTGTCATTTACCAAAACCAGTTTTATCTTAACAAGTACTATCCCCGCCCACCCGCCTTTTATTTTCATAGTTGGTATGTCGCTTGCTAAAATCAGTGTTATTTTTGCAAGTATTAGCCCCGCCCACCCACCCTTTATTTTCGTAGAGGGTATATCATTTGCCAAAATGAGTTTTATATTAACAAGTACTAGCCCCGCCCACCCGCCCTCTATTTTTCGGAGAGTGTCATTTGCCAAAATCAGTCTTACGTTTGCAAGTACTACCCCCGCCCACCCGCCCTTTATTTTCGTAGTGGGTATGTCATTTGCCAAAATCAATGTTATTTTTGCAAGTATTAGGCCCGCCCATTCGTCTTTTATTTTCGTAGAGAGTATGTCATTTGCCAAAAACAGTTTTATATGAACAAATATTAGCCCCGCCCACCCGCCCTTTATTTTCGTAGAGGGTATGTCATTTGCCAAAAACAGTCTTATCTTAGCAAGTACTAGCCCCACCCGCCGCCCCTTATTTTCGTAGAGGATATGTAATTTGCCACTCCACACTAATCAGATTGAGTACTCGGTGTGAAAATGTACTTGTTAGGATAGAAAGCTACATAGGAACCGAATACTTCAAACAGCAATGAGAATATTTGAACCGTTCTGGAATTATCTCCCTTTAAATAGAAAAAGAAAACTTTCAATTCGGAAATAGTACCATTACATATTTGCGTCTCACCATTCTAAACAGATTGAGTATTCGGTCTGAAAATTTGCTCGTAAGTCTAGAAAAGTGTGAGGAATCGGATATTCCCAACCGCAATGCGAATTTATAAACCGTTCTGGAGTTGTCTATTTAGATTTGAAAAAAATGCGATGTAAGTTCTTGAATTGTTCTGGAGTTATATCTCTTTAAATTTGAAAAAAAAGAAACTGTTTTTCAGTTCGGAAATGGTACTGTTCAATAAATGCGTGTCCCCACCCTAAACAAATTGAGCATCCGGTTTCAAAGTTCGCTCATAAATCTAGAAACCTTCAAGGAATCGAATACTTCAAATCGCATTGGCAAGTCTTGATGCCTTCTGGAGTTATGCCCCGTTAAATTGAAAAATATATATATTCGGAAATAACACCGTCCTATGTATTCATCTCTCCACACTAAACGAGTGGAGTCTTTCTTCTGAAAATTTGCTAGTGGGTGCAAAAAGCTTCACGGAAATGAATAGTCCAAACCGCATTGCGAATTTTTGACTCGTTTGGGAGTTGTGTCGCTTTAAATTTGATTTTTTTTTTAGTTCGGAAATAGTACCGTCTTATCTATTCGTCTCTCCATACTAAACGGATTGAGTACCCGGTCTGAATGCGAATTTTTGAACCGTTGTGGAGCTATGTCCTTTTCAATTAAAAAAATAGGAGTATATAATAATTCGGAAAAGACACCGTCCTATATACTATCAGTTTTATCTTAGCAAGCCCGCCCACCCGCCCTCTATTTTCCCAAAGGATATGTCATTTGCCAAAATCAGTCTTATCTTAGTAAACAGTAGCCCCGCCCACCCACCCCTATTTTATTAGAGAATATGTCATCTGCCAAAATAAAAATCTTATCTTAGCAAGTACTAGCCCCGCCCACCCGCCCTCTATTTTCTCAGAGAGTATGTCATTTGCCAAAAACAGTCTTATCTTAGCAAGTACTAGTCCCGCCCACCCGCCCTTTATTTTCGTAGAGCATATGTCATTTGCCTCTCCACACTAAGCGAATTGAGTACCCGGTTTGAAAATGTACTCGTTAGGATAGAAAGCTGCGAGGAATCGAATACTTCAAACCGCAATGACAATTTTTGAACCGTTCTGGAGTTATCTCCCTTTAAATAGAAAAAGAAAACTTTCAATTCGGAAATAGTACCATTACATATTTGCGTCTCTCCATCCTAAACGGATTGACTATGCGTTCTCAAAATTCGGGCCTAAATGTTGAAAGCTTCGAGTATTCGAATGCTAAAATACTACATTGCGAATTCTTGAACCGTTCTACAGCTATGTCCCTTTCAATTTAAAAAAATATATAATACATAATTCGGAAATGACATGTTATTTGCCAAAATCAGTCCTATCTTACCAAGTACTAGCCCCGCCCACCCGCCCTCTATTTTCTCAGAGGTTATCATTTACCAAAACCAGTCTTATCTTAGCATGTTAGTACTTGCTAAGATAATAAGAACTAAAGGGCTACTTTTGCAAGTACTACTTATTTTCGTATAGGATATATCATTTGCCTCTCCACACTAAGCGGATTGAGTACCCGGTCTGAAAATGTACTTGTTAGGAAAGCTGCGAGGAATCGAATACTTCAAACCGCAATGCGAATTTTTGAGCCGTTCTGGATTTATCTCCCTTTAAATAGAAAAAAAAACTTTCAACTCGGAAATAGTACCATTACATATTTGCGTTTAACCATTCTAAACGGATTGAGTATTCGGTCTGAAAATTTGCTTGTAGGAATAGAAAATTGCGAGGATTCGAAAACTCGAAACCGCAATGCGAATTTTTGAACTTTTTTTGGAAATATTTGAAAAAAAAAATGTTTTGGAAATTGGGGAATGGTACCGTTTGCCCAAACTAAGGAATTTCAATATCCAATCTGAAAATTTACTCATAGGACTAGAAAGAAAAATTCTGCCTGCTTTTTTTCCCATATACATATCTAACTTTCAACTTTTTTTTGTTAAAAGTTAAAACCCATGGTATTGGTAATGACTATTTTATGTAACCCTACTATCCTCGATTTCAAAATTCTGAACTACCGGCTACCGAGTGCCTATTAATATTTACCATTTTTTTGTCAGGTTGGCAGCATATATAAAAATTTTTCGTGGCATAGTTAATGAAGAATTGAAATTTTGGGCAACTGCCACCTTGTTATTGGTTTTTAGGCGCGCTTATGTCAAAATGACGACTGTGAACTGACATGCTAACATTGCTGCCAATAATTCAGAATTGCCAATCGAAAAATTTCAATTTACATATAACATTTTACATCTGGTAGTCTGACCTTATGTTTTTCTATATTTTCTATTAATGCTTCTTTTGTGTCCTAAACAGCATCGTATAAAGCTCAAAAAAGTTAGGTTATGATCAAGATGTGTGACACAAGTAGCCATCAATCATCATCACAACGAGGCGGCAAATGTTACAAAATTTCAAAGCCAACTTGTACGATATTTTATAATTACCTTGTGTATATTTATTTCGGATTTATTGATGTTTATCTGATTATTATCAGTATTATTAAGTAATATCAGTAATATGATCTGTAGATTGTTGGTATCCTTCATTTACTTGAACATCTTATTGCTCCCGAATTTGATAACAGTGTATATAGATAGCATTTGAAAAGAATGAGTAATACAGATACGATAAATGCATACTGACACCATTTACAGATCAGTTAAAAATTTCACTAATGAACTGAGTAATTTAAATGGATGGAAACAACAGATAGTAGGTACACTTATAAAGATTCTTAACTGTGTATTTTATTAGTTGCTTGGAATTCTTATGGTTGGTGGTAATTGTGCGCTGTACTACACGAAGATTTGTGTAAATTTTATCCACTGATAAAATCCGAACGAAGTAGTATTTTGTGTATATTATAGCATACAGTTAACTGACCACCGCAGAAGAGCGTTTATGTTGAATTTGTACAATTTTTTGTCAAGCCGCTCTCGTCTCTCCTCCGTGGGTTCGGATTATAATAAACAACCATTTGAATGTCATATCGAGCTCGATAAAATCAAACCACTCGATGTTACGTCCGATAAATCAACACCATAAATAATTCATGCGTTGTAGCACATCTCCCCAAGTTTCTCCTCTAAATCTCGTGCGCTTTTCAATTTTTTCCTAACCTCCAATATGGCGAAGAAAGCATCGTGACGGCCGCAAAGGCTTAGAAACCCACGAACGCGAGGTCATAGGTCGATTGCACTTCGACGAAAATCAATTTTACTTTCTTCCCGTGAACTTTCCAAGGGTGCGCCTCATTAATTCGAAACGTGCACTACCGGACGTTGTTATTCCCGTAGTGTCTTAACAATTGCGACACGTACTAATCAACAGCGATTATTTCTTGTAACGGTACGCCGGCCGATTCGGTGTGGGATGGTGCGTTACTCCTCGATTTTATACACACAACAAGGAACTACCGCTAGATCTAGTTGCCTAACGAGATCCACCTTTCCGCTCAATTAGTCGCGGAATCAGTGACCGGAATCTAACCGATGTTTTGTTCCAGAGGGCTGCGTCGAAGTATCCCGCGAAAACAAGTTCCTCAGCACCCTCACCCCCGGCAAGGTCCTCGGCGAGCTCGCCATCCTCTACAACTGTCAAAGAACGGCCACCATCAAGGCCGCTACTGATTGTAAGCTATGGGCCATCGAACGCCAATGCTTCCAGACGATTATGATGAGGACCGGCCTCATCCGCCAGGCCGAATACACCGACTTCCTCAAGAGTGTCCCGATTTTCAAAAACCTCCCCGAGGACACGCTTATCAAGATCTCCGATGTGCTGGAAGAGACGTTCTACGCCAACGGGGACTACATCATCCGGCAGGGTGCCCGGGGTGACACTTTCTTCATCATCAGCAAAGGCACGGTGAAGGTAACGAAGAAGGTGCCGGATAACAACGAGGAGAAGTATATTAGGACCTTGGGGAAAGGGGACTTCTTTGGCGAGAAGGCGCTCCAAGGGGACGATTTGAGGACGGCCAACATCATCGTGGATAATCCAGAAGGAGTCTACTGTTTGGTGATCGATCGGGAGACGTTCAATCAACTCATTTCGAATCTGGATGAGATCAGGACGAAGTACAAGGATGAGAGTGTGGATAGGAGAAGGTGAGTTGTGTGGGAGGTGCGACTCGGGTTTAATAGATTTGGTTTGCATGCTAAGAGGATTGTGGGTAAGTTTTGGGAATGTGGTGGCATTGTTTAAGTATATTATAGTTGGACAACCTATACGGACAATCACTTTTCCATGTAGAAAAGAATGAATATATATTTTACATCTCACTCGCTTCACAATGAAGTGGCGCTACCTTACGAAAGGGGGTAAAAATAGTCCGTAAGCACGTGATGTCGATAAGGTAGTAAACGGACGTATTAATCAGTACGTTGTACGAGGAGCAGTCACAAAATAAGCAAACGTACATGTTGAAGACTTTACTGTAATATATGTATATGTAGTGCATACCTGTTTCAAGGTTAAGGTAACAAAAATTTAATATTATCGCGGTATACCTATTATCCATGAACTGCATGGCTAACAAATATGCGTCCCTTCGTCCACTTTAAAGGTATACGAAATTAAACGACTACTACTTTAATTAATAAGTAACAAGTCATCTAATTTGCCTCCAGAATAACTATGGGTTATCATCAAACTATGAACACCAAATTAATTCAATATGAACATCTTCTTACGTATTTTTTTTATTAACAGTAGTCAAATCATTAAATACATATTATTTTTGAAACTAAAATGCATTTTATCCTAAGATTGTATCACAAAATATTCATCACCATTTAAATATATACGATTTAGACATCAAGAAATAAATTTAAAATTGCAAAAATTATATCTAGTAGACTTAAAACAGCCTTAAATGTGCCTTGTATGTACGTGCTTATCAGTATGTAGGCATTTTAACGCACAGCAATAATCGTTCTTGATGAGTAATGACTGATGCCTACTGTAACACAGTAAATTCTCGAAATCGAAAATTTAAAACACTGAAAAATTCAAATATGGGAAAATTGTAAAATCGAGAAATCGAAACATAAAAAAATCAAAAAAATAAAAATTGTAAAATCTAAAATTGAACAATCTGTTAATTCAAAAATCGAAACATCGAAAAATTGTAAAATCGAAAAATAAAAAAAAATTGGACAATCGAAAATTTAAAAATTCCGAAAATTGAAAAATTGAAATATAGAAGAACTGAAAACTCAAAAAATCGAAAAAAATTAATAATTTCAAAAATTGAAAAGTTAAAATTGAGAAATCGAAAAACTGAAAAATCACAAAACTGAACGAAATATCAAAAAATTAGGAAATTAAAAAAATGAGAAACAGAAAAGTCAAAAAAGCAGAGTCTAAAAATCGCAAATTTAAAAAAATCGAAAAATTGAAAAATCAAAAAACTGAATAATCGAAAAATTGAAGAGGTGAAGAACTGAAAAATCGAAACTTTAGGAAGTGGAGAAAAGGGAATATAAAAAAATAAATTAATTGAGAAATCCGAAAACTAAAAATTCAGAAACGTCAAAATTTGAAAAATAAAAAAATATGTATTGAAGAACTGAAAAATCGAAAAATCTAAAATTTAAAACATTGAAAAGTTAAAATATCCTAAAACTGAAAAAGGAGAAATCCAAACATCAAAAAAATAAAAAAAAAATAAAAATCTAAAATTCAAAAATCGAAAAACTGAAAAAATCAATTAATCGAGAAGTCGAGAATTTAAAAAATTGGAAAATTGAAAAATCGGATAAATCAAACATCGAAACATCGAAAAATCGAGAAACCGAAAAGCAAAAAATCGAAACATTGTAAAATTCAAAAATTGAGACATCGAGAAATCGAAAAATCAAAAGACAAAAAAATCGAGGAGTCGAAAAATCGAGAAGTCGAAAAATCAAAAAATTGAGAAACCGAAATAGGCCAAAATCGAAAAATCGAAAACTTAAATATGGAAAAATTGATAAAGCGAGAGATTGAATAATCAAAACATCGAAACATCCGAATCTCAATGAAAACCGAAAAATCTAGAAATTTAAAAATTAAAATATGAAAAAGTTGAAAAATTGAGAAATTGAAATAAAAAACAAAAAACGGAAAGTCCAAAAATAAAAAAATTGAAAAATCTAGAAGTCGAAAAATGAAAGAATCGAAGTATTGAAAAATATCAAAACTGAAAGAAATATCCAAAAACTGAAAAATCACAAAACTGAACGAAATATCAAAAAATTAGGAAATTAAAAAAATGAGGAACAGAAAAGTCAAAAAAGCAGAGTCTAAAAATCGCAAATTTAAAAAATCGAAAAATTGAAAAATCAAAAAACTGAATAATCGAAAAATTGAAGAGGTGAAAAACTGAAAAATCGAAACTTTAGGAAGTGGAGAAAAGGGAATATAAAAAAATAAATTAATTGAGAAATCCGAAAACTAAAAATTCAGAAACGTCAAAATTTGAAAAATAAAAAAATATTGAAGAACTGAAAAATCGAAAAATCTAAAATTTAAAACATTGAAAAGTTAAAATATCCTAAAACTGAAAAATTGGTCTAAAGAGTTTATACAGTACTGCCCTCGCTGTCGGAAACTTGACGACTGCATGCCTATTGTGTTTTTTTTCTCATTACATTTTTGTAGTGGGAATTTAAAAAAAAATTGCGATGACATCATCAACATTTTTGCAAGGACACGTATATCAGTTGGGATAGATGTAGTGTAATACTAAGAATAAAATTATTATATTCTCAAATTTTCGGGAAAATGAATTGGGTCGTTTGAATATTGATTTGTAATAATCAATAAAATAACGAAACAATTTACTCACGTATACCTACGTATCAGAGGCAACTGAAAATCGTGTATGTATAAACATTGTTAATTTAAGATGACAGGCGTAACAGCATACGTGAGAGCCAAACACAGAAACTGTAAACAAAACGACCGTCGGTTTTATTGCTTCGACTTCCGCTTATTATATAAAACATTGGGTTTTATTTTAATTCTTGACGGTGAAATTCACAATTGGTTGATTATAAACATGTCTATTTCACATTCGCGGAATCAAGTGAACGCATAAAACAAATGCAGGTCTGTAATGTTAAAGTCGATGTAAATAAGCGTGCTACCCTTATGTTTCAACCGAGTTTTTCCTTTAACAAATTTTGTGTCTACCAAATTGGGTTGGTTGGGGTGTAATACTAATAATAAGTCTTGCCTTTAATTTAATCAATAAAATAAATTGACTTCATTAATTCTTTTGAACCACCTCTTAAGAAAATCTAAAAAATATGAATGGAATGATAAATCACAAGTACAAACTCATCATATTTTTTGCATTTTAGATAGGATTTATTCAGCAAAATTTAAGGGTGACGTCATCAATTTTTTTAGGAGGGATGAACAGATACATTTTGAACAAAAGTTTACCATGCTTATAATAACTTTAAAATATTCCCAAGATTTCAAAGCATTCGGTTTTGTAATTCCTGATTAAATCGATAAAATAAATTCACGCCTTCATTAATTTTTTTGAGTCACCCTGCATATGCAAATCCAAAAATATGAATGGAATGATAAATCACAAGTACAGACTCATCATATTTTGTACATTTTAGATACGATTTATTCGGAAAACTTTTGAGCTGACGTCATCAGTTTTTTGTAGAAGATAACCAAATATATTTTGACTAAAAATTTATTATGCTCTTTATAACCTTAAAACATCTGCAAGATTTCAAAGCATTCGGTTTTGTAGTTCCTGATTAAATCAATAAAATAAATTTACGCATTCATTAATTTTTTTGAGTCACTCTGTATATGCAAATCCAAAAAATATGAATGGAGTGATAAATGACAAGTACAGGCTCATCATATTTTGTACATTTTAGATATGATTTATTCGGCAAACTTTCGAGCTGACGTCATCAAGTTTTTGGAGGGGATAAGCAAATATATTTTGACTAAACATTTATTATGCTCTTTATGACCTTAAAACATCTGCAAGATTTCAGAGCATTCGGTTTTGTAGTTCCTGATTAAATCAATAAAATATATTTACGCATTCATTAATTTTTTTGAGTCACCCTGTATATGCAAATCCAAAAAATATGAATGGAGTGATAGATCACAAGTACAGACTCATCATATTTTGTACATTTTAGATATGATTTATTCCACAAACTTTTGAGCTGACGTCATCAAGTTTTTGGAGGGGATAAGCAAATATTTTTTGACTAAAGATTTATGATGCTCTTTATAGCCTTAAAACATCTGCAACATTTCAAAGCATTCTGGTTAGCAGATTAAAAATTAAATTTCAAAATGTTGTTTTATAATTTTGATTTTTTTTCCAAAAATCTGGACGTTTCGGGTGAAAAGTCGATTCAGAGTTGTAAACTACATGTGTAGGACTATGTTATTTTATACAATTGAAAACCCATTTACTATGTACAATTTTGAAGTGACGTCATCGCTTTAGTGGTGGGGATGATTCGACAAATTTTGGTTAGCGTTTTACCATCTACATGATATTCTTAATATAAGTACAAAATTGCACAACAATCGGTCGAGTACTTTCGGAGATTATCTGTCTAATAAAAATCCGGGACAACAGACGGACAGACGGACAGACGGACAGACGGACGGACAGACGGACAGACGGACGGACAGACGGACAGACGGACGGACAGACGGACAGACAGACGGAAATGGGAGACCTATTTCTTCGTCTTCTAGGGGTCATGAAAGATCGAGAAAACGTAAAAGTAGAGAGTCGGCCGACGGACTCGATTACAATACTTCCTTTGCTTACGCTCGGGAAGTAAAAAGGAGAAATCCAAACATCAAAAAAATAAAAAAAAAATAAAAATCTAAAATTCAAAAATCGAAAAACTGAAAAATCAATGAATCGAGAAGTCGAGAATTTAAAAAATTGGAAAATTGAAAAATCGGATAAATCAAACATCGAAACATCGAAAAATCTAGAAACCGAAAAGCAAAAAATCGAAAAACCAACAAATCGAAAAATCGAAACATTGTAAAATTCAAAAATTGAGACATCGAGAAATCGAAAAATCAAAAGACAAAAAAATCGAGGAGTCGAAAAATCAAAAAATTGAGAAACCGAAATAGGCCAAAATCGAAAAATCGAAAACTTAAATATGGAAAAATTGATAAAGCGAGAGATTGAATAATCAAAACATCGAAATACCGAATCTCAATGAATTGAGATCTCAAAAAATTTAAACATTCGGAAATTTAAAAAATTAAAATATAGAACTGGAAACTCGAGAAACCGAAAAATCTAGAAATTTAAAAATTAAAATATGAAAAAGTTGAAAAATTGAGAAATTGAAATAAAAAACAAAAAACGGAAAGTCCAAAAATAAAAAATAGAAAAATCTAGAAGTCGAAAAATGAAAGAATCGAAGTATTGAAAAATATCAAAACTGAAAGAAATATCCAAAAATTGAGACATCGACAAACCAATAAAGCGAAGTCGAAAAATCGAAGAATTGAAGAACTGAAAAATCGAAACTTTGAGAAGTGGGAAAATCAAAAATAGATTAATTGAGAAATCAGAAAACTGAAAATTTAACGCAAAAATTTGAAAAATTGAAAAATTTAAATAATGAAGAACTGAAAAGTCAAAAAATCGAGAAATCGAAAAAACTAAAATTTAAAACAATGAATAATTAAAATATCGCAAAATTGAAGAAACGAGAAATCCAATTCAATTTGAAAAATTGGAAAATCCAGAAATTGAAAAGCTCAAGAAAAAAATCGAAAAACCGAGAAATCCAAAAATCGAAACATCGAAAAATTCAAAAACTGAGACTTCGAGAAATCGAAAAATCGGAGGATCGAGAAATTGAGGAGTCGGAACCGAAAAGGAAAGTTAAAAATTGAAAAATTGAGAAATTAAAAAATTGAATAATCGAAAAATTTTAAAAAAGAAAAACTGGAAAATCAAAAATTAAAATTCAAAAAATCGAAAAATTAAAAAATTGAAATATAGAAGAACTGAAAACTCGAGATATCGAAAAACCTAGAATTTTAAAAAATGAAATATTGAAACATCGAAAAGTTTAAAAATTGAGAAATCGAAGCATTAAACAGTCGCAGAATTGAAAATCCAAAAAGGAAAAAAGCGAAAAATCAAAAATCCATCAATTCAAAAATCGAAAAGTCGAATAATTGAAATATTGAAAAATCTCATAACTGAAAGAAATATTCAAAAAATTGAGAAATTAAAAAATTGGAAAATTGAGAAATCGAAAATCTAAAAAAGCAAAATTGAAAAATCGTAATCTTAAAAAATCGAAAAATTGAAGAATTGAAGATGTGAAAAATCGAAACTTTAGGAAATCCAGAAATGGACAAATAAAAAAAATACTTTAGAAATCGGCCAACTGAAAATTTAGAAACGTGAAAATTTGAAAAATTGAAAAATCGAAATATTTAAAAACCGTAAAATTGAAGAGGACAAAAATTGAGAAATCGTATCATTGAAACATCGAAAGATTGAGAAATCGAAAAATAAAAAAAATCGAGAAATAGAAAATTTAAAGAATGGAGGAATCGGAAAAGCCCAAAATTGAAATATTGAAAAATTGAGACATTTAAAGTTGAAAAATCGAGAAATCGACAAGCCGAAAAATCCCAATAGCGTATTTAGGTATAAATCACAAGATCAGGACTATTCTACTTTTTAAAATTTAAATAACATTATAAATTGGAAAATGTTGATTTTTTTTTCCAAAAATCTTGACGTCTAAGGTGAAAACTCGACACGGATTCATAAACCGTAAACGGGGCGAAACTACAATTTTACTATTGTAAAATTTGGAGATTGCGTCATTTCATTGTTCGTGACAAATTTTGGAAAGTGTAATTTGATAATACAATTTGAAATGTAAATTTTGTCATTTGGGAACATTATGTATTAAATCGTTAAGATGTTTAAGAACTTTGTTCAACTTATTCGCTGTAAAGTCCAATGGTCGAAAGTTCTTCGTAGTGGATGTGTATCAGATCAACTCTAACGAATATCGGTTTATATATAAATCGCTTAAAGCCGATATTGGCCTGAGTGTGCTTTGGTCTGTAGATCAAACAAGTTCCCAGGCGACGAAAAATTGCATGTGGAGGGAGACTTCGGATTACAAATCGGGCCAAGAAAGTAATAAATTTATATCGGTCTAATTTCATTAAAATGATAATTATAAAATTATCATAATCACTATTGATATTAATTAACAGAAAATAGCGCGCAAGTTATCAGTTGATTTCGTTAATAAATTCATAGAAATCTATATGGGATTTTTTTCATGCCTTAGAAAATTAAAAAGTAAAAAATACAATAACAAAAATTTTAAAATACGGTTTACGAAAAATTAGTTGACCTGCGCAAAGAAGAAAATTTTGGAAACGCTGACAAATATGACATCTTAAAAAAAAAAACACTTGAAGAAGTGCTTTCGGCGTAATATTTTTGATGCTCGCGTGAACAAAATACTCTATGTCAGTGTGCCGTGCGCAAAGAGTTAACTGTGCAGATCTAGCCGAAAATCCGAAAACCAAATCGCTGTGTCAGGGCCAGCATAACGGAAGTAATAAATCATCCCATCGGTTGAAGAAGGTTAGGTCGGTGCACTGATGTCGGTGTTATATCCCGAGAGGGACCCAATACACCCAATAAAATCGAACAGACAAAATAAAGCTTCAAACATGATTATTTTTATACTAAAATTCTGAAGTTTATAAACTGCACATTTTATTTATTTATTTATTTATTTATTTTATCTTGTTTTCGAACTAAAATAAACATTTCAAACAATGTCTGTAACTTATTTTAATGTAAATTATATTCATGTGGTTAACAAAATCAGATGTAATATTAGTGTGATTTTGACCGTATTCTAGATTTTATTACAGCAGAACGGCGTATCCTTTTTAAATTTTAGAAGTTACGAAAACTAGTTCAAGAAACAATTAGTTATCTCGTATTTTTAGAACAAAATCTACCAAAATATCCGATAACAGCATTTGTTTTTCATAGAAACAAACAGTCTTCAAAGCAGCCTTTAACAACTCGATATTACAAACATGCCTCTTAAGTTCTTAATGCGTTTTTTTCTCTCTTGTAATTATTTGTAATGTTAACGCCGAAAGTTTATGTCATTCTGTTATTTACTTAGAACATATATTTTCATTTTGTGTTAATATTTTTGTAACACCACGAATCTAAATTTTACTTAAAATCTTGTTTTACTTTAATCTTGTAAAACTAAACAATTATACCAGTTTAAAAACCCTTGGAAAGTTTCTGTCAGTCTTCAGATATAGTCAAATAAAAATAGGCGTCAAATTCATTTAAATTCAATTCTTTCGTATCACGTTACAACGCGTTGTTTCATATTTTTTATGTCAAGTATATTTTCATATTTTGTATATATATGTTTATACACATTACTGTTTACGGAACAATGTTAATTATGGATTTATGGATAACTCCTCGTATAAGAGCAGAGTGAAGGGTGTTTGCCTTTGCTAATGTTTGATGGCGCCATCTGATTTAGAGTAAAATAAACCTAATACGTTGGCTCACTGTAGTGAAAATGCGCGTTGATGAAAAATTTGTATTAGGTTGTCCAACTATAATATACTTAAACAATGGTGGTGGGTTTGGAATGGGTTTGGGCGTTGGGTACAAAGGATGGTACCTGTTAACAATTAAGCAAATATGAAATCTTGATTAAACTTAATCTGAAGAGAAAGGAGGAAACGTTGCTTTTACATTTGTTACATCAAGTGATGTTTTAAAGACATTTGCATGTGAAATAAAACCACTATTGCCTACTTTTTTAATCGGTTTAATCAACTTTGCAATGTTTAAACTTGGAACAGTAAGTGCGAATTTCGTAATAAGTTTATTGTATATGTTTTTTACAGTTGTATCTAATTGTTAATTGCATACAACGTAGGTTGTTCTCACCGGGTCTGAACGACAATACAGAAAAGTCGAAATCTTGCCGATAATCAACGGCGCAAACAAATTAAGTGCTTGGAATAATAGCTTTCTTGAAGACCATTATCGAGTTCCTATTGTCCATGATTCATAAACATCTCTCTGTGAATAAAAAAACTAATTATCGACTGATGGTAGAACCGCGGGGTGCAAAACAAACGCTTAGAGTTAACGAAGTAATTATTTGTGACCATAGTACGATAATAATAGAAATGTTAAAGACAACAAACGTCCAAATATCGAATTTTTTGTACCACTATTACTACCCAGCGTTCAAACCGCCGCCATTTTGTCCCCTTTTAACCACGTCGGCCATTTTCAGAATGAACGAAGAGTTCGAACGCGTGGAGCTATCAGATCTAAAAAAACTGACAACCTTAGGTGTTGGAGGCTTTGGTCGCGTCGAACTCGTCCAAATTCAAGGCGATTCCAACCGCTCCTTCGCCCTCAAACAAATGAAGAAAGCCCAAATTGTGGAGACTCGCCAGCAGCAACACATCATGTCCGAGAAAGAAATCATGGGTGAGGCCAACTGCGACTTCATTGTGAAGTTGTTCAAGACCTTCAAGGACCGGAAATACTTGTACATGCTCATGGAAAGTTGCTTGGGGGGAGAATTGTGGACCGTCTTGCGGGACAAAGGGCACTTCGATGATGCTACCACCAGGTTCTACACAGCTTGTGTGGTGGAAGCCTTTGATTATCTGCATTCAAGGAACATCATCTACAGGTAACAACAAAATTGGGTGTAGAAACCCTTGACACTTCGAACTTTTGCAGGGACTTGAAGCCGGAGAACCTCCTCTTGGACAATCAAGGTTACGTGAAATTAGTGGACTTCGGCTTCGCTAAGAAACTGCACAGCGGCCGCAAAACTTGGACTTTCTGCGGAACCCCCGAATATGTAGCCCCTGAGGTCATTCTAAACAAAGGGCACGACATCAGCGCCGACTATTGGTCCCTGGGCGTGTTGATGTTCGAGCTCCTCACTGGTACTCCGCCATTCACTGGAGCCGACCCTATGAAAACCTACAATATCATCCTAAAGGGAATCGACGCCATTGATTTTCCGCGGAACATTACAAGAAACGCCATGGCCCTAATCAAAAAACTATGTAGAGACAATCCCGCCGAGCGCCTTGGCTACCAGAAGGGAGGAATTAGTGAAATTCAGAAACACAAGTAAGTATAACCACAATCCAGAAAATCACGAAGTTAAAAAAAATATACTATTTTCTCATAGGTGGTTTGACGGGTTCAACTGGGAAGGTCTAGTGAACAGGACCCTGAGCCCGCCCATCCTGCCGCAGGTCAAGCACGTGACCGACACCAGCAACTTCGACGAGTACCCTCCGGACGCGGACGGGCTTCCTCCCGATGACGTCACGGGCTGGGACGCCGACTTCTAGCGTTAATTTAACTTTAGGTTTTTTCTAATTGAACTGCGTGTTCGCTGCAATGACAAAGTGCCAAGGTTGCAATGATCCGATTTACATGGTAACATGACAATAATTTTGGTTTTATTGTTATTGACTGATGGTGGATGGCCGCAAATGGATAGCACCCAAGTGCCATTTTAATTCGTTTTAAAACAATTTGTTGTAATTATATTTTTTTAAATTTACAATCAGTGTTGTGACTGTTCATATTTTAACAGAAAGTTACCCAATACTATATGTGTATATTTAAATAATTGTAAATGTAAAGCAATACGTATGATGTAAAGTTTTTTTATTGTATAAGTTGTGAATATAAGATTGAAAGTGAATGGCGTTTTTTTGCGGTTTGAATTCGAGACCTGAATAATCGAGTGAGTGTACTCTAGTTTTTTTAGCCCTATTAACAATACACTCATTTACGGAAAATGTAAATTATGAACATTCTTTAATTGACGTTCTCTCGATGATATATGCAATCAAATATACACAAAAATTGAAAAAAATTTTATGTATTTGAATACAAAATTGTAGAAAAAAAGCCCCAAACAGGTAATGTAAAATTTTGCCGCTAAGAAAGTTGTTAAAATACAAAAAGAACAAATTTATTTAGGCTGAACGTTTAAAAAACCGAAAAATTGTAACACTGAAACATCAAAAAACAAAATAATTAAAAATCGAGAAACTGAAAAAATAACAAAAAGAAACAATTTTGAAACATGAAACTTTAAAAATGAAGAAAATGAGGAATGAAACAAATGGATAATTGAAAAATCGAAAAATTGTAGTATAGAAGCCTGAAAACCCCGATTGATTAGAAATAAAGCGAAAAATTGAAAAAACGAAAAACAAAAACTTTTATAAATTCAATCAAAAATACAAAAAAAAAAAATTCAAAATCCAAAAATTTTTAAATGAAAACAGGAAAACTAAAAAATTAAGGAATTGTAAAAACAAAAAACGAAAAAATTAAAAAATTGTAACATCAAAAAAACGAAATACTGAAAAATCGAAAAATTTTAAAGTTGAGAAGTCGAAGAATTGAAAAAATAAAGAAACTGAAAAATCGGATACTGGAAAAGCCAAGAATTATATAATTAAATAATAAAAACCCTAATAGTTATTTGGAAAAAATTAAAAATTAAAAATCGACAAATTTAAAAATGAAACAATTACAAAATTGTAAATTTGAAAAAAAAATTAAAAATGGAAAAAAATTGAAGATATGAAAATTGAAAATCAAAAATTGTAAAACCAAACTTGAAATATCGAAAAATTGGAAAAAATTAGCAAACTGAAAATTGGGTAATGAAAAAAGCAATTAAAAATAGAACAACTGAGGAAAATATAGAAACTGTAAAATCGAAAATTTGTAACACTGAAACCTGAAAAAGTGATAAGTTAAAAATCGATGAATTGAAAAATCGATAAAACGAAAAATTGTAAAATTCAACAGATAGAAAATCGAAAAATTAAAAAGCAAATTAGAAAAGCGAAAAATTAAAATATCTACAAATCAAAAATCGAAAAATACAAAAATTTTACTGAAAAACCCAACAATTTAAAAATTCAGATATCGAAGAATTGAAAACATAAAGAAACGCAAAATCGAATAATTAAGAGGTCAACAATTGGAAAAGAAAAAATTGTAACCTTAAAAATCAAAAACTGAAAATTTAAGAAAAAGAAAAATCGAACAATTGCGAAATTGAAAATCAAAAATAGAAAAAACGAAACTTGAAACACCGAGAAAATTAAAAATTGTAATCTTAAAACTTGAGAAACTGGAAACTTCCATAATATAATTGAAAAAACAACTGAAAATTGAAAAATACGGAAAACAAAATTTTCTAGAAATAGAAAAATCGCCAAATTGTAAAATTCAAAAGTTAAAGATTCGAAAAATTAAAATATCTAGACGCTAAAAAATCTAAAATTCCAAAAATGTCGAAATAAACATCGAAAAACAATAAAATTAAAAAATCGGATAACGAAAAAATCAACAATTGAAAAATCAAAAAATAAAAATATCGTAAATTGGAAAAATCGAAAAAACGAGAAACTGTCAGATTTGATCTAAAAATTGTAACATTGAAACGTGAAAAATGAAAAAAAAGAGAAATTAAACAAGTGGATAATTGAAAAAACAATTAAAAAATCGAGAAATTGAAAAAACGAAAAACAAAAATTTCTATAAATTAAATAATCAACAATACAAAAAATGTTAACTTCAAAATCCAAAAATTTTAAAACGAAACTTGAAACATCGAAAAATGAAAAAATTGAGAAATTGAATTGGAAAAATTGAAAAATTAAAACATTGAAACCTGAAAACCCTGGTTAATTAAAAATGGAGAAAGAGAAAAATTCAAAAAACGAAAAACAAAAACTTTTATAAAATTTCAAAATCCAAAAATTTTAAAATGAAAACAGGAAAACTAAAAAATTAAGAAATTGTAAAAACGAAACATGGAAAAATTAAAAAAATGTAACATCGAAGAAACGAAACACTGAAAAACCGAAAAATTTAAAAGTTGAGTAATCGAAGAATGAAAAAAATACAGAAATTGAAAAATCGGATAATGGAAAAGCAAGAATTGTACAATTGAATAATAAAACCCTAATGATTATTTGAAAAAAGTGAAAAATTAAAAATCGACAAATTTAAAAATGAAACAATTACAAAATTGTAAATTTGAAAAAAAAAATTAAAAATGGAGAAAAATTGAAGAAATGAAAATTGAAAATCAAAAATTGTAAAACCAAACTTGAAATACCGAAAAATTGGAAAAAATTGGCAAACTGAAAATTGGGTAATGAAAAAAGCAATTAAAAAATGGAACAACTGAGGAAAATATAGAAACTGTAAAATCGAAAATTTGTAACACTGAAACCTGAAAAAGTGATAAGTTAAAAATCGATGAATTGAAAAATCGATAAAACGAAAAATTGTAAAATTCCACAGATAGAAAATCGAAAAATGCAAAAATTTTACTGAAAAACCCAACAATTTAAAAATTCAGATATCCAAGAATTGAAAACATAAACAAACGCAAAATCGAATAATTAAGAGGTCAACAATTGGAAAAGGAAAAATTGTAACCTTAAAAATGAAAAAACTGAAAATTTAAGAAAAAGAAAAATCGAACATTTGCAAAATTGAAAATCAAAAATAGAAAAAACGAAACTTGAAACACCGAGAGATTTAAAAATTGTAATCTTAAAACTTGAGAAACTGAAAACTCCCATAATATAATTGAAAAAACAACTGAAAATTGAAAAATACGGAAAACAAAATTTTCTAGAAATAGAAAAATCGCCAAATTGTAAAATTCAAAAGTTGAAGAATCGAAAAATTAAAATATCTAGACGCTAAAAAATCTAAAATTCCAAAAAAGTCGAAATAAACATCGAAAAACAATAAAATTAAAAAATCGGATGACGAAAAAATCAACAATTGAAAAATCAAAAAATAAAAATATCTTAAAATGGAAAAATCGAAAAAACGAGAAACTGTCAGATTTGATCTAAAAATTATAACATTGAAACGTGAAAAATGAAAAAAAAAGAGAAATTAAACAAGTGGATAATTGAAAAAACAATTAAAAAATCGAAAAATTGTAGTACAGAAACCTGAAAACCCTGATTTAAATAAAAGTCGAGAAATTGAAAAAACGAAAAACAAAAATTTCTATAAATTAAATAATCAACAATATACAAAAAATGTTAACTTCAAAATCCAAAAATTTTGAAATGAAACTTGAAATATCGAAAAATAAAAAAATTGAGAAATTGAATTGGAAAAATCGAAAAATTAAAACATTGAAACCTGAAAACCCTGGTTAATTAAAAATAGAGAAAGTGAAAAATTCAAAAAACGAAAAACAAAAACTTTTATAAAATTTCAAAATCCAAAAATTTTAAAATGAAAACAGGAAAACTAAAAAATTAAGAAATTGTAAAAACGAAACATGGAAAAATTCAAAAATTGTAACATCGAAAAAACGAAACACTGAAAAACCGAAAAATTTAAAAGTTGGGTAATCGAAGAATGAAAAAAATACAGAAATTGAAAAATCGGATAATGGAAAAGCAAGAATTGTACAATTGAATAATTAAAACCCTAATAATTATTTGAAAAAAGTGAAAAATTAAAAATCGACAAATTTAAAAATGAAGCAATTACAAAATTGTAAATTTGAAAAAAAAAATTAAAAATGGAGAAAAATTGAAGAAATGAAAATTGAAAATCAAAAATTGTAAAACCAAACTTGAAATATCGAAAAATTGGAAAAAATTAGCAAACTGAAAATTGGGTAATGAACAAACCAATTAAAAAAGGGCACAACTGAGGAAAATATAGAAACTGTAAAATCGAAAATTTGTAATACTGAAACCTGAAAAATTTTACTGAAAAAACCAACAATTTAAAAATTCAGATATCCAAGAATTGAAAACATAAAGAAACGCAAAATCGAATAATTAAGAGCTCAACAATTGGAAAAGGAAAAATTGTAACCTTAAAAATGAAAAAACTGAAAATTTAAGAAAAAGAAAAATCGAACAATTGCAAAATAGAAAAAACGAAACTTGAAACACCGAGAAATTTAAAAATTGTAATCTTAAAACTTGAGAAACTGAAAACTTCCATAATATAATTGAAAAAACGACTGAAAATTGAAAAATACGGAAAACAAAATTTTCAAGAAATAGAAAAATCGCCAAATTGTAAAATTCAAAAGTTGAAGAATCGAGAAATTAAAATATCTAGACGCTAAAAAATCTAAAATTCCAAAAATGTCGAAATAAACATCGAAAAACAATAAAATTAAAAAATCGGATAACGGAAAAATCAACAATTGAAAAATCAAAAAATAAAAATATCTTAAAATGGAAAAATCGAAAAAACGAGAAACTGTCAGATTTGATCTAAAAATTATAACATTGAAACGTGAAAAAACTGACGAAATAAAAATCGGGAAACTGCAAAAACGATAACAAAAAATTAAAAAGTGCAAGAACTCCAAAATAAAAATCGAAAAACTGAGAAATCCTAAAATCGAAAAGCTAAGAATCTTAAAAACTTCAAAAATCGATGCGAATTAAAGAAAAATGCTCAGACCACACAGATGAAAGATGAAAGCAATAATATTCGACTTTGGGCCAGTTTGAATTTAGCGCCGATGTACTTTGTAGTGACTGGTCGACACGGGTGCGGAAATTAATTTAGGTATGCTTTTCTGAAATAGACTATACTCGAAGATTAGCTATTTGTAAATGTCGGACTTTTTCGTGAAGGAAAGAACAATGTTAGGTAAGTAGTAAAATAAAAATAATAGATACTTTTCGAAAAATGTACTTTACATAATAAGAGCATTTAATTCAATGTAACCATTGCTCCTTGGAAATTTTTAGTGGTATCGTAAGTATCAAACTGGAAAAGACTGTTGTAGTTATTAAAAATGCCTAATTTATATCGTAATAAGACTAATAAAACAGTAATTTTAGTTTTAAATCTTAATACACGTTATACTCTGATTGTATACGGTAGCAAAGTGATTTTTTTAGAACAATTTAGATGTAAATACTTGGGTATATACGTAGCAATGACGGTCAAATGTCTCGTCCATATGACATCATAGTGTAACGAATTATTGACGTGATGTACCTACTGACGTCTTAGAGACTGCATTTACGTCAATTTTAAGACGTTTTTCATATTTTGATTTTTAGAAAAAAAAAATGAAATAGGTAAATAAAAGCCTGAAATAATTTTATATTTTTATATTGTTTACCTTAAATAAAATATTATAATTCGGTATAATTACCAGGTAAACCTCAAAATAAACTATATTTTAATTCAAGTTAAAACAGGTAATTAAAATTAGCGTAAAAAAATGAAATTTACTATAATTGTGTACAACCAACAATGAACTTCAAAAAACAAATAAAAAATATATGTCAATTAAACAAATTAAAGATAAAACATTCTTAAGAACACAAACAAAATAAACTTCGCAATAAAATATGCTATTTAAAGAAAAATCACCTTTAAAACACTAACAAATCTATTTGCAAAAAATATTAAAAGAAAACTAGAATAAAAGGAAAAAACAAGTTAATAGCATTGTACAGTTCAACATATTTCGCTTCTTCGAATAATTAAAAAAAAATGTTATTATTAAATAATAACGAATTTTCCCATTTAAAAATGTTCGGATCAGCGTTATTTCATCAAAGGCACGTATGTCATTTCCTATACGTGCAGTGTAATATAGCAATAATAATAAAACACTGAAATGTGCCCCTGTGGACATTGAATAAATAAAAAAATAGGGTGAATCAGTTTTGATTTAATCAATAAAACAAATATAGAGAAGAATCATAGTTTAACATTAAAAAAAGAAACCAAACGCCAATGTCTAAGGGAAAAACTCAAAGCGTATTCATTTACCGCAAATGTTGTATATCATAGTGTGATAATTTTTGTGTTTTCTGTACGAATCATTATACCTTGTTCGTCGCCACAAAGGGAAGATTAACCCAGTAGGGGGTTAAAACCTAAAACGAGCTTAGCACAAAATTTGTCAGGAAACCATGATAAATAAACGCTTCAAATATCATTTTAACGACTTCTAGATGTACGTTTCTGTGAATTGCATTTTGCACATTTTTTCTTGGACCTTTGGATGTTAGAAAAAATAATGTACCTATAGAACAAATATCTAAAATTGTCTCCTCTTTGTATGATTTACGACAACATTATTAGGAGTATTTGAAACAAAGGAGAAAGTTGGGTGGTGATGCACCTTTAACTATAGTATCTTGGTGCTCCGCTCCAAGACAAGAACGGATCTTATTAGCTTATTTATTACATTTTTGGGCGTTCTGACCGATAATAATTTATGTCACCCCTAAATCGTAGGCAAAGATTTTCAGAGAGAAGAAAGTTTAAATGCGAATTGCTTGGTAGTTTTAACGCATTAGTAATTATGCGTTAGGTCCAAAGAACAATGTTAAGCAGACCTGTCTATCCACGTGATGAGTTGGTTCCTCTTCTCCTCATTCTATAGCCAACCCCTTGTTATAATCAATTCGATACATAGGTATTTATCAAAATTACATTGGTTTTATTTAAAAATTCACACAACAGGGTGGTTCTTTTAATCGTTTTCAAGCTTTTAAGTGACGATACCATACATTAGGTAGAAAATTCCTCTGGTCTAGAACTGAAAATCCGTTTAAGTCATTAAATAAGTATCAGAGATCATTTCAGTAGAAATGAATCAATATGATAGCTATATTTTATTACTTGGCTGGGATTATCAATTTTTAAAAATTACTAAAAAAATAATAAAGTGGCATCTAATCACAAAAATGACACCTAACCTCAAAAATTCAAATAGTTTTATACTGCATATACAAAAATGACAGACGAAAATAAAAATAAATATAGAAAAATTCCAAACAGCTGAAACTATAGTCAATTGGAAATATATTTTTTGCTTTTATTGCAAATGTACCTGTGTATGTACCAATGTGATATTTTTATAGATAAATTTATACACATATTTTTTTATTGGCTTAGGTTGTAAATAAATACAAAATTATATGTATTTGTAAATTAATTATAAATGTTATACAAAAAAGTATAATTTGGACATGCGCATAACTTATGTATGGCTTGGATGTTACATGTACTAATTCTTTTCAATAAAAACAGGTTTTTTTTTTGTGAAGTACATTCTTGTATATTATTGCACAGTCTCGACGGTGCGGCCTATTAGCCTTAATCCGTGTAGGTACCTGTGTAACCGGGAGAGAATTTACCTATACCCTTTTTGTCACCTTGACCACTGGGAGACAACAGACAACTTACCTACAGCCAAAATATGCTTAGGAAAATTTATGTCTGGTAATTTAACCCATGAATTATTTATTTTATTTTTTCTGTATGGTAAAATAAATTGTCAAAATAAAAATTCTAGAAATAACAATACTCGGATTTAATTATTGTATGTAAATAGTGAATACATTATTATGAAAGCTTTTTGAAAAATTTAAATAAAACAATGAAACATATATTATTGAAAAAAGATCAAATTAACATTTAAAAAATAATAATTTTAGTGTGTTTTCCATTTACTTCCTGTCAGTAGTAAATACGTTGCACAAGGTTTTCAAATTAATCTGTTATTATATTAGGGCGAATATCAGCAATCACATTTAATATTCTTTCTTGGAGTTCTTCGATGCTTTGTGGTCTATTAACATAAACTCGATTTTTTACATAACCCTGATGAAAAATCCAAGTGGGGTTAAATCAGGTGATCTAGCTTCGTCCTACCCTTATAGATAACCTTAAAGCCTGAGCAAAATTTAATTCTTTCTACTTGTCCTTGAATGGACTCAGTTAAAATACTTGTCAAGGTCACGTCTACAATTTTCTGTTGTAAACTATTAACAATACTTGGTTAGAAATATGATTTACGACATTTTTGGAAGTATCTCAAATCAAAAACAAACTTGCTTTGGACCCCGTGCCGGTCACTATTTTTAATAGCCGTCCCTAATAGCCGACACCTTGGTGCCTTGGTGTTCCGCTCCAAAACAATAACGGATCTTATTATATACTTCCCCACTCTGCGTGATAATTTATGGTCACCTCTAAGTCGTAATCAAAGATTTATAAAGAGAAGAAAGTTTTGCAAATTGCTCGGTACATTTATAAAGCACAAGTAATTGCTTTTCAAGGCCAAAGCACAATATGTAAATAAATCAGACTTATCTAGGATATTAAGCCACTCCACCCACGTGATAAGTTAATCCTTCCTAGCTCACGTGTGTTTTTAATTTTCTTGTGCTAGTTTTTTTCAGAATGGTTTCCACATTCTTAAAAATTAATTCTTAAACTAAGATTAAACAAAGAAATGCGTTAAATCATATTCACAAGTCTCTTACTAACGTGAAAAATGCAATAGATTTTTATTATACAGGGTGTAATTCCCAAAGAACTAGTTGAAAATGTTAGGGTATTAAAAATCAGCAAAATGTTTATGGAAAATCTTAAAGTACCTTTATGTTTCTTGGTATTTAGATATTATTGTTTGGCTGTCTGGTGGTCATCCTTGTTTCCAAAACCGTTTAGACACACAATGGACAATTAATTTAAGCCTTTGATAATATTGTGAAACTTTCTAGGAAAAGGATTTCAACCCCACACCTGGCGGTAATTAGTTAGGGCTTATCATTTTTGACATAAATTTGAAAATGGGGAAAATTGTCTATATAAACCACCAGAGTGTGCACATCGGCATATTTAACTGGTGACCGACGTAGTGACTAGAGCTAAAATCACTGTGTGAAATAAAAATGGGCGTCCTAGTAAGGCAAATTAGGCCTAAACGAACTTTGCCATTTAAAAAACGACACAAAACGACATGGATAGGGTAAGTAGTTTTTATTTGTTTTTGTAGCTGTTGTTAGAACTATACTAAATCTGTTCATCTTTTTTAGGGACAACGATAAACAAAAATCTTTAAAGTTGGACGATCTAAAGGTAATCACTACTTTGGGTACTGGAGGATTCGGCCGAGTCAATTTGGTGCAAATTGGAGACGACTGTAGCCGTTCCTTCGCCCTAAAGAAACTTAGGAAATCCCACATCGTTGCAACTAAGAACGAAAAAAATGTTAAAGAGGAACTCAGAATTTTAAGTCAACTGAATTCTGACTTCATCGTTGAATTTTACCAGACGTTCAAGGATGACCACAATGTGTATATGTTGATGGAGTGTTGCTTAGGGGGCGATTTGTGGACGATCTTGCAAAAAGAGGGCTCATTTAGCAATACTACGACCCAATTTTACACCGCCTGTGCAATAGAGGCTCTGGAATATCTACATTCCAGAAATATAGTGTTTAGGTAAGAGTGACAAGTTATTGTCATTATTTTTTTAATTTAATCTACTTTGTAGAGATTTGAAGCCCGAGAATCTTGTTTTGGATGCCCAAGGGTACGTGAAGCTGATAGATTTCGGATTTGCCAAGAAGCTAGGTATTGACGGTCGAACTACGACTTTGTGCGGCACGGTACACTACATGGCGCCCGAGATCATCCGAAATGAAAGCCACGACATAAGGGTGGATAGCTGGACTCTAGGAATAGTAATGTTCGAATTCCTGACTGGTGACCTCCCGTTTGGCGGAGAAAACAGCTACGCGATTTTTAAGAATATATTAGCAGGCATTGACACCGTGGACTTTCCAGAAAACGTTACCACAAGTGCCATAAGCATAATAAAAAGCTTTTGCCAAGAAGATCCCTGCAAACGTCTGGCGGGAATCAGTGCCATAAGACAACACAAGTAAATTATAAATAGATTTTTGAAATAATACCTAATATATTTTGTATTACTTTGTGAAATTTTTATAAAGACAATCGTAAAAACGAATTAATTTTCTCTTTTTTTTGTAGATATTTTAACGATTTTGACTGGGATGCACTGGTCGCTAGAACACATATCCCACCGGTTGTACCCAAGATCAAGAACGCAACCGACAGCAGCAATTTTGTCGATTGCTTTTCCGACGAAGACGAAACTCCGTCCGAAGGCATGAGTGGCGACATGGACTGGGACGCTGATTTCTAGCCCTACATAAAAAAGTACCAGTGAACTAATAATTATGATGTCTGTGATAAGAAGACTTTTTTCTTTTTACTTTATAATATTTAAAAATAAATAATTTAAAGCTAAACTTTAAATTGTATTTTTCTTGGTCAATTGTCTATAGCCATTTCGTTGTTCTAATAAATATCTTATTAACAAGTTTGTACTCATTATTTAGTTGCACGTACACATATATTATTTTTGAATGGATAATAAAGAAGATTCCATCATAATTTGCGTGGAATCCATCTACCAACTAATTTTTTTGGGGACGAATGATTAATTACGATTAATACAAAAACTGGATTCAAGAAAGTTTTCTTTTGTCACAGATTACGGATATCCGTAATCTGTGCTTTTGTAAATTGATGCAACCAACATTAGACGCCTGTTGGTTTAATTTCATAATCTGAAAAGCAACCGAAATCTAGAAGACGTACGTTCAAAATCGCACAGCATTCTTTGATCTAAATAATTAATGAACACATTATTTTTTTATTTTTTGCATTGCAAAGATTGTCATGGGCTTTTTTAATTTTGCGTTGAACTTTTCTGCATTGCTTTTGATACTTATTATGTTCTATAAGTATAAGAGGATACGTGCCATACAATTAGCTATATACACTGGGAACGCTAGACGAGAGACAAGTTTGAATTGGGCCCCATTTGTTGCCTTAAAAGCAACCAGCAATTCACCTTTTAATCTACCTGACGCGCTGGGATAGACGACTACCGGACGTGGGTCATAAAAACATCCTAAGCCGATAATGCAGAATAATGATAATTTATGACAGGCGGCCCACAACATACCTTCAGCACAGAAATATCATTACTCGTATTCTTTTGACATATTAATTTTAATATTCGAGATAATTATTATATTATTCAAACACAATTTAGACTCTGTAGAGCAAACAAGGCTTATCAAACCCGTCTATTAGTTTATTCGCCTAAATGTATTATTAATACCGTTTTCAAATTACACCAAAATTGAAAAATCGAAAAGTTAATAATTGAAAAATTGAAACATTTTAAATGAAAAAAATCGGTAAACCGAAAAATTGAAAAATCTATAAATCGAGAAATTGAACAATCAAAAATTAAACAATTTAAAAATCGAAGAATTGGAAAACCAAAAAATCTAAACCGAGAACTTAAAAAATCGAATAATCGAGAAATCAAAACATCAAGGAAAACAAAAAAATTAACGGAAAATCTAGAACTTTAAAATTGAAAAATTAAAATACCTACCGAAAAATTGAAAAACCGAGAAATCGAAACATCAAAAATTGAAAAATTGAAGAACCGAAACATTGCAAAATCTCAGAACTGAAATACTGAAAAACTGAAAAATAGAAGGAAAATTGAAAAATCGAGAAAGTGAAAAAATTCAAAACCGAAATCTTGAAAAACTGAAAAATGGAAAGAAAATTGAAGAATCGGAAAAGTGAAAAAATCCAGTAATCGAAAAATTGAAAAATCACAATTGAAGAAAGAATTGAAAAATCAAGAAATAGAGAAATGGGAAAATCAAAAAATCAGTTAATCGAAAAATTGAAAAATCGAAAAATTTAGAAACGTCAAAAATTGAAAACTGAAAAATAAAAAAAATTTAAAATCGTAAAACTGAAATATCGTAACGTTAATATATTGCAAAACTGAAAATTTTTGAAAAAAAAAAATCGTATCAAAAACTAAAAATTAAAAAATCGAGAAATTGAACAATCAAAAAATCAAAACATTGAAATCCCAGTAAGTTGATAAATAGGAAAATTAAAAAAACAAAAATGTTAAAAATCCAAGAATTGAACAAAAAAAAAATCTAAGCCTGAAAATTCAGAAAATTGAATGACCGAGAACAAAAAATCTAAAATTTAAAAATTCGACAAATTGAAAAATCATGGAACTGAAAAATCGAAAAGTGGAGATAGTGAGAAATCTAAAAACCTAAAACTTTAAAAACTGTAAAATTAAACTATCGAAAAATTTTAAAACCGAGAAAATACAATATCAAAAATTTGAAAAATTGAAGAAACGAAATATTGCAAAATTCCAAAGCTGAAAGATTGAAAAACCTAAAAACGAAAGGAAAATTAAAGAATCGAAACAGTGAAAAATTCACAAACTGAAACATTGAAAAATTGAGAAATGGAAAAATGGGAAAATCAAAAAAATTGGTCTAAAGAGTTTATACAGTACTTCCCTCGCTATCGGAAACGTGACGACTGCATGCCTATTATGTTTTTTTTTTCACATTAGATCTCAATGCATTCGGTTTTGTAGTTTCTGATTAAATTAATAAAATAAATTTGCGCATTCATTAAATTTTTTGAGTCACCCTGTATATCCGAATCCAAAAAATATGAATGGAATGATAAATTACAAGAAGAGACTCATCATATTTTGTAAATTTTAGATAGGATTTATTCAGCAAAATTTTGAGGTGACGTCATTAATTTTTTAGAGGGGATAAGTAAATATATTGTGATTAAAACGGTCCTGGTTTAATAATAAAAAAATATTGTTCGTTTATATTCGTAAAAAAATATGTCGTAAAAAAATGTACGTATGCTGGTTCCGACTGCGATTACGGTTTAAATATTTTTTAGAAAATCCTGTCATGAATGTAGAAACATTTGTGACAGCAAAAGAGATTTTTGGAGAAAATTATCTTTGAATTTAGACCAAATTGAAATAGACACTAGGCAACAGGCACATTTGGGCAAAAGAAATTAGGGTCACGGCTTCAAATTTTGGACGTATTTACAAACTTAGACCGACTACAGCAATAGCTAAAACTGTGGAGTCTCTGTTGTACAGTACATTTAGAGGTAATAGTCATACATTCTATGGACAGCAAAGTGAGGAAAAAGCTGTCAAATGTTTTGAAATAAATAAAAATATAAAAACTGAACGGTGTGGCTTGTTTATTTCAAAACAATTTCCTTACTTGGCTGATAGTGCAGACAGGGTTCTAGAGGATAGGAGGGCATTAGTCGAAATAAATGCCCTTCAAAATCGCAAGATTTGTCTCCCGAAGAAGCGGTTAGAAAAAAAATAATCAAATTTTGTACATTGACAGAGAATTGAAACTAAAAAAAAATCATGATTACTACTTTCAAGTTCAGGGACAAATGCTTGTTACGGGTATTTCACAAGTTTTATTTTGTTGTGTGGACACCCAAAGGAATAAATATAGAAAAAATTTATAAAGACGAAGAAATATGTAAAAAGATGGCAGATAAACTTGGCAGATTTTACTTTGGCGCATTATTGCCCGAAATAATTGATTCAAGAAGAAAGAGGAATCTGTCTTTGCGAGAGATTTTTTTTAAATAAATAAAATTTGTTTCTATTTTTTATGTACTTTAATAATTTATTAGGAGTAGATTTTTTATCACCAAGACTTGCATATTTTTTTTATAAATATATTTTGAAAATTATCTCTCGGCAAATGAAAACATATACGACCACTTTTTTCGAGTAAACAATGAAGGGAGAAGTTACTGGGCGTAGGGCTTTTTTAAAACACCTCCTTTCTGGGATAAGTAGAGATACACTTAGCTACTTATACGTGTTAAACAAAATAAAAACTGTCATGGAGTAGTAGTGTGTGCTGTGCTTATCACTATCATTATTTTGTGTTTAATGTGATTATAATTTTCAAAATTGGTGTTAGGGCCACATTATTCGTCTCCCGAATGGGTTCAGAAGTTAATTGAGCTTCTTGTTCATCTTTTTAACGGTATTGTGTGCCTTTTGTTCCAGTAAATATTTTTGTTATTGTTTGAGGACTCACGAAGTTGCCGCCGCGCGGCGCTCGGATTATTGAAATCTGTTCATCAGGTGGGTTCACTGTGTTTGTTTACTTTTCAGTTTTATTTTTATATTCTATTTTCTTTGTATATGAATTACTTTGCAGTATTTATTCGTGTTTAAAGATCGTCATTAAATACTTACCGTAATACTTTCTGTTGACACGTATACAGGATGTCGAATAGTAAAGACGCTTACATGGCCCTGCCTTGTAAGAAATGCAAAATTCTACCGAATTCAGGTTTAACTTGCCTGAAATGTAATTCTTTGAGCCACCCAAGTTGTATAAAACTTCTAAGAAATATAAAATACATAAGTGATAAAGAAATAATTTGTTGTGATCGATCTGAGGATCAGGATGAAGTAAGTCCCAGAGACATGTGGATCCGTACGTTTGTGATAGAGACAATTTCCCCATTGCTCGAAGAAATAAAGTTGTTGAGACAGGAAGTAATGAGTTTGAAGAAAAACAATGATACCGTTGATGCAGCTGTCGCTCCATTACGCTTAGAAATTAAAACTTTGTCAGATGAGGTGAAGTGCCTTCGTGATAGTAATCTGGATCTTGTGAAGCTTTTCTTCAATAGTCCAAACACTAATATTAATAGTAAAATGTTTTCAAAGTCTTTTAAGTTATCATCTTCAGTTTCTCAGCAACCGAAACATGATAATATATATGATAAGCAGTTGATGAAAGGTCATCCCCCATCGGTAAATAAATCGGCCTTAGAATCTGATATGAACGTGTATAACAACATTGAGGATACTAATGTTGTGTCTGGGCATAGCAAATCGATCCCGGCAAATGTAGATGACAAAACAAATGATATAGTGTCTGTGCATAAAAAGCAGGTCCCTGCAAATGTAGAGGACAAAATGAATGATGAGCAAGGATCGTGGCTAACTCAGCGCAGACGTAGATTTAAAAAAAGAGCTACTATAACAGGAACATCTACAGATGACAACAATAGTAGTTTTACTTCATCCTACGTAAAAAGAGCATGGTTTTATATAGGCAAGGTTGATAAAGATGCAGAAATTGATGCAATTAAGACATATATAGGAAAACGTTTGAAGAATTCTGACGTAGAATTAATAATTGAGAAACTTCCAGCAAAAGGTAACTTCCAAGCTTTTAAATTAGGGGTGCCTTTTATTCACAAAGA